TGGACACTCTCAGCTCTTCATATCCTTGCCGGCAAAACTGTACGCTGGCAACTGTGCTTTGTCATGCTGTCGTTGATGCTTCAAATATACTCAACAAGAAAGCAAACGATCCCAAACCGAAAGGAAATCTCTTAACACCTAGGCTCAATTTCCCCCAACGTGGAGCTAGAACTTATCAACTTCTCAGCACGAATGCAACACCCTCCCAACCTTTATAGTGAAACATTCTGAACAAAATCATCCACCAGCTGCAAAGAAGGAAACTCCTGCAAATCAGGCCCTTTGCATTGAGTTTGTTGGTGGGCAAAACCAGTGTCCCAAAACAGCTCTCGCAAAGATCGATGACTTGGAATGCAGCCAAATCTGTAGGACAAATCAAGCAACCCTCCCACCCACCAGGTGTCCAGAAGTTGCTGCTCTTCTCTCCGACCTGCCAACAATGAGACTGAAGCCTGAGAAAATGGCGACTCGAAAAGGAAAACACTGCAGGTGGTGAACTCCACTTCCATCGATTATGTAACAGGAGTGTTTTCGATCACAGCAGCCACATCCATCGATCACAGCACTTCATGGGGAGACGCCCTATTCTCAAAATTTATCGAAGACTGAGGTTGATATAACTTCGACCCCAGTCCTTCAGTCCAAAGTTCCTCTATTCCATATTGCATTTGCTTGCCAGCCTTTGGTGTCGTTTGGTGTTTCATCCTTATCATTTATCATCCTTCCACCAAACCGCTGAAAAAACACCGCCTCTCGTTCACCATCCGACACGACCGTCCGTTGTGTTCATCGGCCCCGTCCGCTCCGCGTCGTCCCCGGTCCGCGGAGCTGCGGGTCGGGCGCTCGACGGTCGGAGCTTCGGTCGCCTTTCGGTGGTCAGGAGCTCTTCCAACTTCTGCTCCTGTGCTTCGAGGCTCCACTGCAGCTCCTGCGGCGCCAGACGGAAGATGGAAACGGCGCAGCGACAGGCGCATGAGTGACAGCTTTGGGCTGCAGAAAAGAGACCCTACTGGCTGGAGGGGAGAGACTTGGGGTCACAAATCCCCAGGTTTTGAGGTCCCCACACCCCAGGTGTTTCTTTTTTTTGCCTTGAGCTTGAGGAGTTTTCGACCGGTGACCTGAGCGACCGGAGCAATGAACATTGA